GTGACGTCAGCGCCCGTAAACGGGAGCCGGAAGTGATTACGTCAGTACGGGTTCCGGCTCCCGGGTTCCGTATTCCGGGTCTGTTTGAACCGCCCTCAAGACATCCGCGTTCGCCACCGTCACATACCTTTCGGCCACCTCGAAGCGGCGAAGCACGCACAGCGATCGCCATTGTTGGAGTTCAGATTGGTGGCTATTGCGAGGTCTGTTTCTTACCACTGGGAGGGGACCCCATTTTGACTTTTCTATGGCCGACTTTTGGACCGAGTCTCAATATTAGAGAATGCTTTGAAGATGTACAGCAAATTATGCGTTTTGTCTGTTTTTTTTTTTTTTTTTTTTTTTTTTGTATGGGTTTTGGAGCCATGCGCGGCTTCTCCCTCGGAACACTTGGAGAATTGATGTTTGTTTCGGGGAAGAACGGGGATTTATTTTTACTATATTGTTTTTCGAGTGTTTGTGCGCGCTGCTTTGGTTTAACAAGGAGCTGGTCGATAGGGAGAACTCGTAGCCAGCGGTCGCCAGACCCTTTGACTCCGACGTCGCCCCATGGAAACAGAGCACCAAGGAAGACTCGGTTTGGGCAGCAAAAGGCTTATCTCCATGCGCCGTTCCTGCGAGTTCTTCCTCTGCCGTACTACCCCAGACCGACGTGCCGTCGCCACGAGCCAACTCGGAGAACTAGCGGCAACCAGCCGCTAGACTATTCGGCTCCGAACGTCACCACGCCGGCACCGTTGCGGCGAGGAGGACTCAGTCTGGTAAGCGAGTGGCTAATCTCCGAGCGCCAGCCCGGCGAGTCCACCCCCTGCCCGACTGCCCCAGTGGGACGTGTTCCCAACACCCTTTTCCGCACCTGGATCACTGCACCCGTCGTGCTGGACTGCTCCACTGTGAGGTACCGTATCTCCCTCTCCCCCTTGTACTTTTTCTTCTGGCCCTCAAATTGTAAAAACTCCGTATTAGTAGATGCTTTATTATCATTCACTTGTTTGTGTATTTCTGTAGTTTTCTTAGTGTGCTTTGGTTGTATGGTAACAATCTTTTGGATATGAAATGTGCTCACTATCCCGTTCGTCGCAGCGCTCTTGTCTCTGTCCGCCGCGTCCCCCGAGCCCACAACATGTGGGATACCAGACGTCCGAACCCCTTCCCGTGATATGGACCCCTGCTGAGGACTTTGGCTCATGTGATATGGACCCCTGCTGAGGACTGTGGCTGCGTCGCACATGGCGGCGAACTTTGCTGCAACGCACTCGGCGGCGGTTTGCTACGTCGCAGCTGCTGCCCATAGAGTTATTATAATAAACGCTAGAGGCTCAGCTGGCGCTAGTGTCCACGCTACTTCCGGTTGCAAATTGAAGCAGACAGCATGCAGTCTACTTTTCCAGCCTTCCTGTGTATTCCTACGGGAAAACGCGTGTGAAGTTTGTCTCGTCGCCGGAAAATAACATTAATAACTTTTGTTATTTCGGTTGTACCGGATAGAATGTACCTTTATTAATATTGGGAAAGCGTAATTGCTTTAGTTACAGCATTTTTTCTTTACCACTGAACGATGCTAAACTTCGCTATATTCCAGGCCCAAACGTCTGTTCCATGGCAGGTATGTAGAAACGAGCGACGATTCTAAGCAAAATAACGATCGAAAGGAATGTAGAGTGTGTTCAAAGTTCGCCAAAATTCCGTTGGTGCTTATATATTGCTAATACGCCTGTCCTGTCACTATATGGAATTGACCCTGTCGTGCATCTTTACGAGTGGTTAAAAAAAACGTTTTAAACGTGAAGAATAAAGTACGTGGGCTACGAAAGGTGTGTTTTCTTATTATTTCCTATGTTGGGCAGTTCTTATCGCGCACCTGTTCTCTGCCTTCCGGGTCCATATCACAAGAGCGAATGACATTTTAGCGAACGGCGACATTTGAGCGAATGGTCGTTTTAGCGAATAACGGGGGAGCGCGTTAACCCATCCGTCGCGCTGCGCTTTACGCCGCTTCGCGGCGACAGTCTGCGGCAACTCATTACAAAAATATGAACTCACTTGGCCCACCCGAAAACGCCGCTTCGCGGCGTCCGACTATTCGCTAAAGTGTCGTTCGATGAAACGTGGGCGTTCGCTAAAACGTCATTCGATCAAGTGAATGCCTCCCCTGCCTTCCCCCTATTTGCAAAGATTTGGAGCGTGCGTGTAATGATTTGAACCCAGAACAATGCATCTTCGCACATATTCATGAGCAGAAAGAATAAAGCAGTACTTATTTATTGCAAATCGGACTATATTACGTGACTTTCAATTTATTGTGATCGTCTGCAAGCAGAGTTATTTATCCAGTGTTACTGCGTAGTTCTTGCCGTCTCTCAACGTTTTCCACATGTCCTTCGTTCGTCTGGCACGTATATCCCCCATGCTGGAAAGCGCCGACGCCGTGTTCGTGCTAACAGTGTCCGACAGTGCACATAAATACATGTACGAAGCGGTTTAAGCACCGTTTTTCATGCCACGATTTCAAAATAAAAACGCCGTAACTGACCAATTATTTCATCTTCGTGTCTGGGAAAGGTTCCAATGTGCCTAGTAGGTATGATTTATTCGTGATATTTGCTCTCATAATCGAGCGCAGGGAGGAAATGCACTCCATTTGTTCCGTAGAAATGCATTACCGGAAGTCAATTTCGAACTGCTTGCTGTCTGCTTCAATTTGCAACAGCACACTAGAGCCAGTTGAACCTCTAGCGTACATTATAATAACTCTATGCTGCTGCCCTGGCGGGGAGTGAGGAAGAAACGGACCCTATATAAGGCGGAGCGAGAGGCTGCTCCGATGTTCTCTCTGATTTGGACGACTGTATCGCAACCATGTAATTAAACCGTTCGTTACGTTACCAATTCTCCCACCTGCACTGAACCGCTGGGTTCTTCACTTCAAGGAATGGACGTCGTCAAAGGCCAGGAGGCCTCCGTACGTGCGGCTTAAACCCCGCCTCAAACAGAGGGAAGGAAGCGTAGCTCACAATGAGCCGCGAGAAACGCGGAGGACCCACCCACGGGTGAAGTAGTTGAGCCGCCTCAGGACGCGGGTGGAGCACAAGGCCAACCTCGTAGAAAGGCGCGTAATGCACCTCGGAGTGCGAATGGTGAGGTGCTCGAATCCGTTGCACAAAGCGCGAGCCCACCAATTGATGAGGCGTCAGAGTCAGAGAAGGAGCACCTCTCGGAAACTACGCAAATGGTCGAGGTAATGAGCCCCCAGCTTCCGAATTCACATCGAGAAAGCGCGGACCAAGTAACGGAAACTCGACAAGAGACCCGCACAGCGGCAGGAGCTAATCCTGCCGCTGTGCGTGTATGAAAAGGGGGGAAGGGGGGGGGGGGGGGGGGAGGGGCGCGAGGGGTCGGGCTAAGAAGAACCCGTTAAGGCCCGTTCACACTCTTGGGACCGAGTACGACCGAGAGAGTCCAGAGCGATCTCTTAGGACCAGTTCCGCTGTAGCGCATCCGGTCTTAAGTGATCGCAAGAGGCTTAAAAACCGGTCTGGTCTCTCTCGGTCGTACTCGGTCGCAAGAGTGTGAACGGGCCTTTAGTCTTGAGGAGTCGGGGAAACCTTTCTTGTCACCAGGCGAAAACCTGCGGACGAAAGCAGAACGCGCACCGTCGGAATGCTGTAAACAGGGCTGTCTACAGGCAGACAGATGCAAACGCAATGACACCGAACCCACTCGCCCTTATTTTCAGTCGCATGCACACTGTTATATAAAAGGGCGCTTGAGCGAAATGGGTGCTGACGCGGAGCGGGGCGAGGATGAGCCGGTGGCGGATCGAAGTGTGCAGACGACGGCGTTCGGAGAAGGCACTGTCGTGTCTTGAGTGGTGCCCCAGGAACACGCACACCAGCCTTTAGCGCAGGCTTGGGACTGAGTAGGGCTGAAGGCCAGGCCAAGGGGAAGTCAGGAGAGCTCATGTCCGTCTCCCTGCTGCCTCCGGCGTGGTCCTAAGTTCCGAACAACAGGAACGTCGTTTCTCGTCCCTCGTCGACATCTCACACGCACGCGAGCGATAGAACGTGTGTGGCACGTTCATGGTACGTGCATATTCTAAGCCGCATAAATGCCCCGCACATCATTCGCTGCGTTTAGATGGATGCGATCTTGGCGCATCGAATTGAGATTTGAATGTTTCGATTGATAGCAGATGGGTAGGAGAGGAAGAAGTAGGAAGACAGGCGGCGTGTGATTGGTCTCTGCTCGGTTCGATGCGCTTCGATCGCATTCATGTAAACGCAGCCACAGCCTAATTTTGGAAGTTGAATTTCCTAGAAATTGAATTCCTCAGAAAAACAATTCTTTTCGGGAAAATCGAACACCATTCCCCTCCATAGATGCCAGAAATGCATACAGCGCGTATTTCGTATCACCTTATTTCAGACACTGTTGTGTGGTGAAGCATAAATAAATAAATATTGAAGTCGACCAATGACTTTAAAGCTAGCGCTCGGGTTCCCGAGCAGCCATTGTTCGAGCCATATTTTTTATTATTATTATTTTTAGTTTCTACTTTTTTAATTTTGTTTGACTGTGTTTTGCCGAGGCCATGTTCCAGATATCTTAAGTAGACAATGTGACACCTTGAGCTAACCATTGCATTCATTGTTTCCTTGAATTAAGAACGGTAATTTTTGAAAGCATATCTAACGCAATGCATAAGCCACCGAAGATATTGAAATATAATCGATAATTTTGAATACAATTTACTACTGAGTTACCAATTGTGTTTACAAATTTTATCCTGATACAGATTGAAATAATTGCCAATGAAAAATAAAATATATCGAGAATACAACATGAAACACTTTTACCGCAATACAGCCCAGCTTGTAGTTACTGGGCATCACAACCTGAAGAACTAAGGAAGAGATATACAGTTTTATAAAGGGTAGATACAGATAAAGGGCACATGACACCACTTTATTTATGGCAGTCGCTGTGACAAAAGTTAAATCCTAATAACATTTAGGACAATAGCACCATTCTCTGAGTAGGTCTGCTTTCTTCTTCTCCAAGTCCTCCTTCCATTTACCGACGGCATCGTCATTGTCTTTTTTGCAGGGCTGTACAGAGAGAAAATGCAATTTTTGTTTTACAGCAATCACAACAGAAATGTCAGCGTTCGAACAACTTCGTTTCGCTGGTAGTCGTTTCATTAATTGGACTGTAAGTCATGTATAATCAAATGCATGATTTAGTGCCCCAAAAGAGGCACTAAAATGTACTTTTTTCAAATGAGATTGGGGTACTTGGGAGGAGACTTTGTTTCAGTAGTTGTACTAGAAAATATACTTTTAGCCTCTTGAATATTTTTGAATATACTACTCTTGAATATACCTTTGAATATACTACAGATGACGTAGGATATCTTTCTTTTCAGCATCATAATTTTTTTAACATTCAAAAGCTTGTGTGTGTTCTTTTATTTAACAGTATTTATTGTATTTTTGACATTGTATTTATGTTCGTGAGTATGTGTCTTATTTAGTGTTTCCCTGCTACAATGCTTCAGCGCTGCAGGTTGTCCTTGCAAATAAATAAATAAATAACGGTGCCGTGCCACTAATTCTGGACTTTCACTAAATAACGCGCAGCATTAATCTTTGACATTCACAACCTACGATACATGGGTTAGATTATATCTCATATTGGCAGTCGCAACAAAATTTGAGAAAAAAGTGGCGGTAACTTTTTCAGGTTACAGGCAAAATGAGGGGCCACATGATCTCGTGCCGACTGTATGGGGCCCAACGTTCTTCACAGCCGTGCACTGGGGTTGGCAAGCATATCACTCGTGTTAAGCTGCAGACAGTGTTAGGTGTCGGCTGTTCCCGTCGCTGCAGCGATTTGACTTCAATCACCACCCGAATACTTGTTGGCGCATTGATTGTCATGAGACCAAACAGTTGCCCCCGCGTCCAATCTATGAGATACCTTTGAATATCGTTATTATAAGATAGTCCCGCGACTACGACAACGATACGATACCCGCTACTACGTCATTATGTTTTGCGTGGGGGAAGATGGAAGAAAAAGTCCACACGTATCGTCAAAATTACACAGCAGCAAAAACGTTTCTTGGTCAGTGGCGTTGTGTTCAAGTATACCAGGGTAGCACAAGTGCCAGCATGTTTGTGTAAAAAGAAAAACGTCCCAGCCTAATGTCGTTCCCTTGGAAGTGAGCGCGTTGGTTTGGTGCAAAGACTTGAAAAAGAATGAAAAACTTAACAAAACACGAAAAGAATATACATTAAAACTGTACTTTCTGTATTCTGTCCTTATATAGTTTTTCCCCTTATCGCTCCAAGGTCCTTTAAATGCTACTATTATTACTTGTAACTGTCGTTAATGTTGCTTCCACTGCTAATACTCTTGCTTTTAATCCTGTTCCTTTTTTTTTTTTTGATAAAATACAACCACCTTTGGTACTTATATCATCATTTCCTATAGTTTATTATTCTAATAAATATTACAGCAAAGCAAGCTGCAGAGAGGTCGTAAATTTCAAGCTGAAATTTGCCTCCTCATTAGGCTGAAAGACGGATGGTATGTTGCACAATTGACACCCCATCTAGACCTCCAGACATCGTCGAGACGGTTGTTTGCCTAAACGCAACACTGAGAGGCTTTAGGAATTGTTGGCTGGATCGTCAGGTTCCGGTTCCTACCAGCCGTTTTAGTAGTCGACGTGATCATGGGGAGTTGGGTATAATATGAGAGGCGTTTTCGATTTTATGAAACAATTTTGAATATTGTTATGTAATTGTAACACGTCAAAAACTATTTTGTGCTATGTACCGCCAGTAGACTGGATATAAGAAAATATCTGGTCATCTGAATATACATAACAAAGATGACCGACTGCGTCTTGCCTAGGGGATCGAATGAAATGACGCATGGTCTTGACAATGTAAAAAAAAAATTTTCGGGTATTAGTTCAGCACAGAACCAACAGAGAGCCAATAAGTACCACTTGTGTTATGGTTAAACAAAGACAAAGGGGAGAATTATGGCATGCCCTTAATAAGGTAAACGGGAACGATAAATGCCTTTTTGAAAATATATAAAACTGGGCACCTATCATGAAATAAATTCCCGCAAAAAAAAAAAGAAAAACGGGAAGGCAGCGAGAACATTTTCTCACGACTTACCGGGCTACCGACGATGCAAACCGTCTCTGGCAACGTCAGGGGACCAGCATTGCATGTCACATTACACCCGGAAGAATCATAGCTTTTAAAACCCTGCAGTGCATTGACATATAATGTCACAAACAAAAATTAAAATAAATCTCTGTCCAAGAGATAAAAAAAAAATTGTTGGAATGGTGAATTTAAAGGCAGGCCCCGAAGCAGAGAAAAAGAACCTGACCCTCACTTCCCTTCTGCCACTCCCCCCCCCCCCTCCCAACTTTGAAGGAGGAAATCCCCTTTTGTTTTTCCTCGACATTCTCTGGCCTTTTTATATATAAAAAATATAAAAAAAGATAAGTGTTAGTTTCATGAAACTGGAAGTCAGAGTTACTTCTCAAATAGGGCAATGCTAAGTGCAGGCTTTGAAAAAGGACCTAACTTTGAGGAGTTGTGTCTTCTTTCTCACCCAAAAAATGCAACATGTTTTAATAGAAATGAATGCCGAAATAAATTATGACAAGGTACCCCAATTAAAAAAAAAAAAATCGAAGGTGCTTTTTTTATTCGCATTGGAATTTTTCGTTGTTTAATTTTTTCCCATGTTTGCCTAAATATATCACGGCTATCGTATTACTCAAATACCTTATATATATTTTAAATAATAGCCATATATAAGGACAATACTATCTGAAAGGTATATGATGGTGGTTAAATTATTTTAGGAGATACAGGCCTCCAAAGTTTGCCGTTTGTCGTTTGAGCGTTTGGCGATTTTTAGAAAAAGAAATATAAGTTAAAAAAATATAATTACTATATATTACAAGCAAGCTATACCCATAGTTTGGTTTGAAAAAAGTATTAGAATTCTCCTAATATTATTTCTAGTTATCACTTTCGAATCTGCCCCCTCATCAGTGCGCGTTAATGCAGCTGTCCATCTCTTCATACTTTAAAATTTTTCCTGTCCCCCATATTGCTTTTCTGGTAAAAACTAAGTTTGGATCCATTTACAACAGACACTAGAAAATAGCATCTTAAAACATCAGTTCATTTAAAGATGTCGACCAGCCACCCTTTGGTCGATCTTTTTTGAAATCACCCTACTAAGACTCGCAGCTTAAAATTTTAATACGCCTGCGCACCAGGGTTAGGGTTTTTAAAGGGACATTTAAGCGGTTCTGTATTTGAGTAAAAACGCTTGAATCGTTTTCATTTGGCTTCCAAGCACACAAATATCGGTATTTTTATTATTATTATTATTATTTGGTACACGGAGGCTGCACAAGACAATATCAGAGTACCGCTGAAGCGCCTCCTTCTCGGGGCGTTATCTCACAAAAAGAGTTTTCAAAATCTCCGCTCTCGCGCATATTCAGCGCCTATCAAAGCTATGCACGCGCACTCTTGCTATTTTCAAAAAAGGTCAGAAAAAGACGTCATGACTGGTGTCAGTGCGGGAAAATATACATGGCAAGCTTGCAATCGCACGCGTTGCCCACACGAACGACACGCGCTTGGCGACCGAAAGGTTATTAGGTGGCGTAACGGCTGGTCGGAGATTTTTGGGGGTCTTCTCGTTTAGTTGCATCTTCGGGGAAAACGAACGTGATATTCAGATTCACGTGGTAAAAATACTCTAAAATTCACCTCTAACTCGTATCTTTTTTTTTTTTTAACCTTTTCAGCTTCCCTTTAATGTGTTTGCATTAGTGCCCCGGTACATGAGCTGACCTTCAATTAGTTTGGACTAACCGAAGTTCGCAAAGTCAACACGGGACGGCGCCACAGCTGCACTGACTGTGGAGCATGGAGAATAGAAGGGTAGGAGAGGGCATGACGTCGTCCGCGTAGCCTCCACAAGCCATGCTCCCTTGACGCCTCGCCTCTTTCTCATTTTTCTCCTTACTCTCCTCACTTCTCAGGCGAACGTGACCACATCACGTGACCGTAGCTAGCCTTCGTCTAGCTATGGTGTACTAGAATACACCACAGCCTAGCCTTCGATCTAATAAAACCTACCGGACGGAGCGCGCGCAAGCCTGCAAGGGATCCTCCTACAATCAACCATCCATCTCGCACGTGACATGTCACGCGCACCAATCGCAAGGGAGATCTGCGGTCACGCTGGGCACAAAATAGTTTAAACTTTTTATGACTAGGCTTCACCAATAGTGCAACGTGCCCCCTCCTAGTACTTCTAACCTCCTTGCTGTGGAGACTGGCTAGGAAACACCATCTGCAAGCGCCAACAGATGGCGGGCGGGGCTCGGGTGCGCCAGAGCCGTATATTGGGAGAGTTTGGCCAGTGGATGTGGCGACGAAGGCGCCGGAGAGGAGAAAAGTAAATGAAAGGGAGGAGAGCGCCGAAGGAGCGCGAGAGAAAGAAGGGAGCAGAGAGGAGACGACCGCCATTTTTTAGCAACGCTGTCGGAGACTGGTCGGAGAAGAGCACGGCTGAGGCTACGCGTCGTCTGCTACGGGCCGACTTCTTCTTCGCCTGAATTAAAGTTTGTGGCCATACGCCGAAAAATATTTATTTATTAGCTTTTTGACCCACCGAGGAATAACAGACTGTCATTTTCTTGCCAGAGCCAGCCATATAAAAGGCAATAATCGAGATTTAGATGCCGATCCCACGCATTCCGCCGGGAGAATGATCGAAGATGGCGGCCCTCCCCACTCAGGTGGGAGCAGCCGGGAGTTCACGCGCATGCGCTCATGCCTCTCGCTCTGCGCCGCGTGCTGATTGGCTCACTCGGGAGGAGAGCGTTACGGCGGCGAGATCATAGACTGACCAAACTCTCCCCATATACGGCTCTGGGGTACGCCAAAGTGCGCTCTAGGGAGGCTCCCCACAGAGCCGTGTATTGGGCTCTGGCTCCCTAGTGCGCTCTTTGGACGCTCGGATGCTGCTGCCGCCGGCTTTGGAGACGTAAGGACGGACACGGGCTGCGTTGCAGTCCCTCGTAATCCGTCGTTGAGGTTGGTCTACGGAAGTTGTCAATCCGCTTTAAGTAGCCGATTTTCACGATCGGTGGGAGATTGATGGCCGAGTGGGCTAGCATCGTGCTCCGAGTGGCTAGCACCAGCTCGGAGCACGTGGAGCAAAAGCTCGTGGTTCAGAACCCAGGATCCTGGGCTCAGTCCCCACCCCTGCCCGTTTCGATCTGGATGAGCATCGTACCGGCGTGCGATCGTGTATCACTACTGCGTGGTGCACGCTAAAGACCCTAGGCCAGCAGTTGTACTGCACTGGCTAAATTTCTCGTCTACAGCTGGGAGACTGGTCGCCCGTTGAGGCAGACCAAGTTCTAGGCTGTATAAACACGCACACAACCCTTTTTTTTTTTTTTCGCAATGGGCTAGCCGCGCGTCGTGCCACGGTGCCAACTGGCCAACGGAAAAGTCCGGGAGGGTCGTTCTATCGTTTTATAGTCGACGTGACAAACGGCGAACTGCCGTAGCGATCGCAGGTCTTCCTCCTTTTTGATGTAGTGCCCGTCGTGGAAAAAATAATGTGCGCTTTGGTTCAAGCTCTCAAGCACCTGCCTAGTGCAGCAAGGGTGATTGTGAAGAAGCAGGGGACTCGCTGATGTCAAAAAATACAAAAGAAAAACTCCCTCTGCTATGCTTTTTTTCGATGCAATAATCATCTTTTTTTTTTCTTTATTGCGATGCAATAATCATCTGTGAGCATATTTCGAATGTATTCAGCTGCACACGCTCATCGACAGCTCAAAATGCATATTGCAGCGCTCACCATAATACAAAAAGCATTTAAAAAATTCTGTTTTGCCCTTTTGGCGCTACCATGCCTGAAACGTAACGCGACCAATCCATCGATTAATAGACCCTTTCCGAAATTCAGTGCCATCTGGTGGTTCGTAAGGCAGTTAACGTTTTGCCATATCAATGGCGGAAATGAACTTGTATCGGCACCGTCACTTTTGCAAGTCAACGGCACGCAAGGAATTGTTCAGTGTGAGTTCTTTCTCGATCACTTTCAGGTCGATGGTGACCAAGAACGTGCATTCAGAACAAAGCTCCAACCCACTGAGATGCCTCGAGAAAATTCTATACACCAAAGTGCTTTAAAGCCGATTGTGTGCCACGACAGATTGACTGAATCTGAGCAATTAGAAATAAACGCTTACGTAGCTCTTGTGTTCCAGCCCTACTTCGCTTCGTACTGACCCCCGAACGTACAGGCCTCGCAAGATCCGCTTAGGAGCATCTTCAACGTCTTCCTTTATCAGTCACTAGAAGGCCGCCATTCGTATGGCACAGATGCCGTTCCACAGATGATGATAGTGATCAAAGTGGCCAGACTGAATTTCGGAAAGGGTCTATTGAGTGATTAATGGGTGCCGATTAATTGGGATAAAATGTTTAACAATGCCTATCCCTAATGACGACTGTTCTCCCCACTCCAAGGGATAATCCGCGTAGATTCTTTTTCAGTCATCACCAAAAATGGCTCTTCAGGTTGGGATGGGGTACGGACAAGTCGTGTACGTTTCTTTGTCTTGATGTTAAAAAAAAAGAAAAAAATTTGTAAAGGTGTTTTAAAACAAGGTTCTCTTGGATACCGTCCGTTTGACAAGATGTGACTGTTCTCGACACGGTTGGGCTGTGTTGTTTGATATCTTGTCTAATAAATCGCTTTCGTATAACCCCGCACCGTGTGATACGCACCATCCTATAGCCTCTATAAAGGAGGCTATGGTACTATCTATGCGGAGATCAAGTCGTCGGCTTCTTGCGCAGGAGTTGCGGTGTCGTCAGATCGACGTTGAGCGGCGATTGGCGTTGATTTGAAGCATAGTGGGTAGAACTCAATGCTAGATGGCTTTAAGTCTACCCACTATTTTTGTTAATCAGCCAATAAGGGTTCAATGTTTTGACATTATCGTAACCCGTAGGCAAGAAGCAGAAGAATATACTCTCCGCATTGCTCGAATGCTGACACTCGCTAAATTTCATGTACGAGTCCTGTCATGTAGGTCATTAATCACGTCATTTTCGGCCGAGAAATATGCGTGCCTTTCGACTATTTTCTCTAGCAAAGTCTTTTCGACAGCTAAGCGCCTTGTCGATAGATATTGGCTGAGCGGGCGGCGTCGTTAAAACTCATCATAAAATAAAACAAACATTCTAGTAGCATTAGCTCTGCCGAGCATGTGCCCCCCCCCCCCCCCCCAAAAAAAAAAAAAAGAAAGAAAGAAAGAAAAATAGTTTACAGTTTTTTTTTTTACTGTGGTACAGTGCTTTCTGAATATCATGGGGAAAATACATACACAATGAGAAGCAAAAAATAGCGGGAAAGGGCGAGATTTGAGCCGTCAGTGATATCTGATATTGCGCCTACGCAAGTTGTGCCTGCCGAATTGAAAAGTAAGCAGGGACGCCGCTAAGAGACAATTTTTTTTTTTTTTTTTTTTGTGGCCGACTGTTTTTTTTTTTTGTTTTTTTTTAGTGGTGTGTACACCAGTATCAGGCCCTGACGTCACGCGGCTGAGGGAGTGCTGCTGTCGACGCAGCGGATGAGCAGACGTATAACTTGACGCGGGTTTGGTTCGTGTGCACACGCAGTGCCCACGCCACACGCGGACTTCTTTGTCAGCGGTGTGCTGGTAAGACCTCTTTACAAACAAGTTAGCATTTGCCCAAACCAGGATATGGGGACCGCGCGTGCGCGGGAACCAGATCCGCGTCACTGATTGGTCTGCGGATGTCCCTCAACGAGAGCAGCGCCACCGCAGCTGTTAGACGTCAGAGCCGCGTGTCGGTGTGTATACGGGAAACGACTATTAGTGTGTGAGTTGACCAGCAAGGTTGGCTAGTGTCAAGCGCACTATAGAATTTTCTAAGATTGCGTGAGGAGTTAAATAACCATGGCATATGTGATACTATGCTAGTGGAATAACAAGCGTGACCTCGGCGCAGAGAAAAGAATGAGCACCAGAAACCTCAGATACTCGTTCGCGCTATAGATCCTAACTTTTACAAAAAAAAAAAAAAAAAAAAAAAAAGTTTCCAAAATAGATATCTTTATATTTTTATAGTCAAGGAGAATTAACCTTTTGAGTACCTACCGCTTTCGAGCTTGTTGAACTACTCGCTTCACCTGATACTTGTAGAAATGGCGATACATATAAAAAAAAAAAACCGCCGTGTATTTTCTTCTCATGTGCAACAATGTTTAAGCGATGTGTCACTAAGTTGGCGACATTGTGAGTTTTTCTAATATATTACGGGATTTCCTGCCAAACCCAGGTTTTAGTATAAACGGTATTAAATAATTAATCTTCGCATTATAAAAAAAAAAGAAAATTTAAAGGTCCCTTTGGAATGTCTTGTAGCATATCATGTGCATTTTATTGTTCGCGAGGCTTACGAATTACGACTTACGCCATATCCATTTAATTTGCACCAAATTTCTGAGCCCCCCAAAAAATCTCTGTAGCAGGGATCAGGAGACCTACGATGACGCTCGCCTTCTGAAAAAAAAAAAAATATTATGAAGGTAAAGACAGGCAAGAAGGTTGTAGTGAGTTTTAGTATTTGGAATACGAGCAAACGCAAGCAATTCGTGTTTGCTTTAACATTGCGTAAAATGCTGGTATCTTTCTCTTTAAGATTGTAGGCACGAGTTCGCCTAATTAAATTCGATTTTAGTGTTACTATTGTCGTACCTTTTTATTAGTGACAATAACCATTTTAGGTAATCGAACAAAACATTTCAATGGCAGATATGCAAATTGGGCCATCTGCAAAAAGATATCCGATGATATTGATAAATATCTTCATCCCTGTTAGTTTAAGTACCACAACTTATGTGGTTTTTCATAACTGATTTTTTAACCCAATGTACAGCTTCAAACCGCAATACCCCGGAGGGTCGCGACCACCTCATTTGCAACATCAAGATAATCTAATTTCTTGAATTCATGTAATAAATTAAAGATTGGCAGTTCAACAGTGTACCGTGTGTGAGACTCTTAAATGGTATGCGATGCACCGACTTCCTTTTGGTCATATCTCTATTAATACTACTTATTACAACCTTTTCAGTCGTCCGACACCTGCCGTTCTAAAGCATTGCTTGCAATATCAAACGACGTTCAGACAGCAGCGGTGACATCCAATCACTGGTGTTTCTTATTTCTTAAAGAATTAAAACAAGCAAAAATATTTCGAGAGAAATAACAAAGAAAATAATATATTTGTTAAATGTCTATATCTCTAAAACGACTTACCAACTTGAAATGCCGGTAGAAGAAGCACCACGGCGAAAAGTACGAGCAGCATGTTGCTTATATTGCAATATATAATCGCAGTCCAACTGGAGCGTCCACCTAAAAGTGTAGCAATAGCATAAATGTAACCTCTATACTCGACGACGCAAATTTTTTTTTTCTTTTTTTTAAATCGTGTAACGGCTTGAATCTTGGAGATTTTGAAATGTAGAGGCAACGCGTTCAAAGGAGAGCTCCTGCGAAACATTAATGATAATCGAATTTTATAAAACATTCAGCACGTACTAAATATTCGCCCCTACACAAGTCTACGAAATATATTATCAAAATATTTATTTTCTTTTGAGAAAACAAATTTTGAAGTTTACGCGTCCGCGCAAACTTCAAACTGCCACTCTACTGGCCACACTGAGCATCGACAGCATTGATTATGACGTCAAATGTCGTATTCAAGAATAAACCCTTCCTCCTCGTTGTACGTTGTAGCAATTGGAAGTGTGCGGCAAGACAGTGGCGACACAGTGCAGCTCCTCGCAGAAGCGTTTTGTATTAAACGCGACCTGACTGGCAAAGACATTCTGTGTAGCAATCCGCCTTAGCTTCTGAAGTTGACTTCTTAGCACAGCGATACATTCAAGGCCGTACTCGGCGCTAACTCTTTTTACGCGAGAACTCGAACTTGAGAACACAGGTCCAGTGGCGTCACTATGATCAGCGGCACCCGAGGCGGTCCGCCCCCCCCCCCCCCCCCCCTCCCTCCTTTCTGAGGGCAGTGCACAGACCCCCTCCATGCGCCTGCAAGAAACGTCGCGATCATTTTAATTCCAGCACGTGTAAGCAATCCGCCGGCAAGCGTAGAGCAATTTGATTGTTAAGAGGAGCGAAAACTAACTCTCACGTAAATTTCATCCATTACTGGCTCTGATGAACGTCGTCTCGTATTGATTTGCAGACCCCCGCGAACACGAACGCTTTGCAGAGGCATATTCCAGAGTAGATAAAATAAAACCTTGGCGTCGGGTGGTCGTCGCTGCCGCTTACGACTGCGGACACAAGATTAAAACCGAGCTCCGAGCAACGGCTGCGGGTCGAATGAAGTGAAAACCCACACAGAGAATGTTGGACGCGGGCAGGTTTTCAAATTTCAGGGTGTCACAACTTTACGCTGGATCGAGGCCGAGAAACACGGCCGCGGGAAGGCCCAGACGCGGCGAAGATGCTGCGGGTATAGGTCCGAGTGGGTACAGCCTCGATAAACGCAGACGCTGACGTGGACGGCGCTGCCAACCACTGGCTTCCCGTGTGGCTTCCCGCGTCCCGTCTAGGTGTCGAACGCTGTCAATAATGAGCTCCTGTTAGGTTTGCGTGCTGTGTCTGGTATGCGATGGACAATAAAAGGGGGGGAGGGGGACATACACTCTGGTAGGGAGTGCCGCAACACCGCGAAGAAATGCAGTAGAGCGAGATATCACCAGTTTCCGACCGACAAGTGAATGAGATGGAAGCGGGCATGGCCAGTGCGACACGAAAGCAGGCTCTCAGCGTTCCCGGCGTGCTAGCAAGCAGTTCGCACCGAGTTAGCGAACAAAACCATAGCCTCCTCTACACTCACAGAGCTTGGCAGTTTGACAACGGAGCCATAGACTGCCCTGTCGCAGATTTGGAGCGCGAGGATCTGGTACTGTACAGAACATCAAAGAGACATTCTCGGGGAACCTAGACGTCAGCGCACAGCTTTTGCTGCGGCGAGGACCCGAAACACGCTCGTTTGCTCGGAAGAAGTGTGTTTCGGCATCTCGCCACAGCGGGGCGCCAGTCACGTGGCTCTCTTCTCATCCGTTGTCTGCCACTCCTCCTTTTTCATTTTGGCGGCCGCTTCTCCTGGCGATCTGCCAGCCTTTGTCAGTATACAGGGGGCTATGACAATACCTTCCCTCTCCCATTCCTCTTCATCGCACGCCGCCTTTTCGTAGTGTGTGTGTGTGAGTGGGGGGGGGGGGGGGGGGGGTTATGCCGAGATATGCTCCGAGACCCCAACGTTGCCGGGAGGAGCGGGCGCACACAGCGGGAGGAGGGGAAAGCCTATCGGGCAGTCGTAGCCTCCTGGCGGGTGTTCGACTCACTACACGCGCGCCAGCCAATGGAAGCATAATCCATCAGTGCTTAACTTTGCTCCTTTTGTAGAGGTGAATTTAGCTGACAGTTTGCTGGCTTATTGCGCAGCTTCAAAACTTGGATGCTTCTGATCGCGGTTCACTTCGCTCCCTTCGGACAGGAGAATTTAGTTGCCGTTGGCTCGCTCCATGAGACAATTAATGCTTTTGCAATATTAACTAACTTTTAGAGCCCACAGGAAGCTCGCGAAAGAGCGCAAGCACCATGTGGCTATAGTGGCCAGCCACGTGACTCTAGTAGCCACTTTGCCCTGTGTTCCCACGTGCGCCAACTACAAATTGGTTTCGCGCCGTGAATATAGCTCTAAAACATTTTTTTCTTTCGTTGTAAATTTGTTTTATCAAATAATTTTTTTCATCCACGTTCCTTTTTTTTTTTTTTTTAAACGGGTTGGATGTAATATATGGAGGCAATGACGGCAAATCAAATGCGAACGGAGAATTGTTTAAAATCTCATGTTGAACTTGAAACATTTGCCGGTCATTGCTTGACCCAAAAAAGCTTCATGAAGCTTAGTCCATAGTTTTCCACGGACGATTGCGACGGCTTCTGACGCTGGGCGAGGCAGGCTCCAGCTTCCCGTACGTGCTGATGTTTATACAATATCTTTTGTTAAGGGAAGATGGCGGACTAGTAAGGTTGATACTGTGATATTGTGATACGAAGTCCGGTTCGAAACAAGAAACACGGCAAAAAAAAAACCTAAATATTTTTGTTGAAATTTAACGAAAGAGATTTTTTGAGAATGTCAACAGGAATATTGAGTAGGTATTCTTTTGAGCCAAAACGAAACCAAAAAAGATATTAAGATGGACTCGCGAATTAAGCACAAAACAAAATCTCGCTTGCAACGTGTATTTTTTGATGCTTTGAAATACTACTCTCACATTTTGTTTTCAAGCGGCACGCTGGAACATAGGTTCAACACGACAAAACCAGACCTGTACATGTTACCCCCAAACGGTAACTAGATAACGTTACTGTTTACTCGCACAAAAAGTAACAAAATACGATAGTTCTTACGGATTCTCAAAAGCAGAGCGTCACTTTACCTCAAGAGTATCGAGTTAGTTTTCTCATTACTTTGACGACAAAATACACTACTGCTTTTGTTTCGCAGTTTATTGTTTTATATACAGTACTCGTTGCACTTAAGTAGCTGCCTCTCGAAGTTTTTATCACTCATGTTTCTCCGCTTCTTTAACAATAGATCTCCGGCTATGCTGAAGAGTCGTTTTAATGACGCGCTCGAAGAACGGTAGTGTTGTGATTCAAGAAGGGCTGGCGAAACTGGGATACTCCTTTCACTTTTGTTCTCTGTGCTTGTAAAGTTCGAAGTTGACTTTGGGTTATGTGCCTTCCCGCGTTGGAAATCTCCGGGTTCATATTCGGTCTCTGCACGTTTCTAGAAGGTTGAACCAACCAACCTTATTGTGTTTGTTGGATGATGGATATTCCCAGCTGTAGAGTTCAGCAATAAACGTTGCTATACCCTCATACCGTTTAGTTGTTTTTGGGTTTGCCCACCAGCATTCGTAGCAACAGATGCCTACTAATCTTGGAATTGAAATGAGGCTGTTGATACGTTGTTTTACATGTCACTCCTCAAAAAGTAACGAAATACCGTTACTCGTTACTTGGCCTTAAAAGTTACTAAATACGTTAGTCGTTACTTTTTTAAGAAAGGTAACTTAATAGCTTACTTGTTACTTAACAAAGTCACTAGGTAGGTGTAACTCGATACTAGTAACGCGTTAGGTGCATGTCTGGACAAACCACCCGAAAAAGCAACTACAAAAAAAAAAGAAAGAGTGAAGTGTTTCAAGTTTGTGTCGGTTTTTACCTGCGGTATCGTTTTTTTTTTGTTTTTTTTTTTATCAAGATCAAATATACACAAGCTCGTTTGCGTACTTCCATTCAGTTCATTAACATAGGTTGATTTTATGTTTCTTCACCTATCTGAGCGACCCCTCTAAAAAGATATGGATCGTGAGTACGCAATCCTGATTGCTAATTTAGAGATATAATTAGTTAGTTTTTTTTTTTTTTTTTAATTTCTGGAAAACTCAAAATATCCCTCAAGACGGCAGAAATGGCATGACAACGTAGCTCAACAAACCAACCTACAGCAATCCGTTATTCAAACCAAGGGTGTTATGAATACAGTTTCACGGCACGGTAATGCGACAAAAACTAATACAAAAGTGTAGCAATTTCGAGGAGAACTTACGTAAGGCTTTCTTGCTTCAAGAATCTTGAAGTGGCGATTCCTAGTCTGAGATGTGGACAGTTTTCTGCCTTATTTATATCACAGATTGTAGGCGTGTTCCACACAATCTGCGATTCCATGAGAATTTTCCCGCCAATGGTAGCTTTGGAAGCAGGTGGGAGGAGTCAAAGACTGCACCTGTAAACCTGGCCATTACACTTGAGTCCAAGAGGATTGTCTCGACCTTGAAAAAAAATATATATATAAAAAAATGTTCGTCCAAAAAAAAAACATTTCTACCGCAGTTTGCACCTGCCTAAAGTTCTTAAACCGTGGTTAGTTCTTCGAATATTTTTCAGAACAAGAGTATGATACACCTCTGAAACATGATATTCTACGCTGCAGGAATTTGCCTTATAAAACCGCTGGATATCGTCACTAAGGTCCAGGGTGGTCTTCAAGATAAAGCAGAGCAGTGTGGTCTGTTACAGTTCGAGTCCCACCACTGGGACCCGAACACTGTGGTCGCCGAAAGTGCATCGTCACGGCGCTCATCGTTCTTACGCGCTTATAACAACCGACAAAGCCAATCACGCATAATGAATGCGCCGCAATTAATGCGCTTTCTTTTGTACGTGATTGCTTTAGACGCTGATAGCAAACCGACGAAAAAAACGAGCAGT